GACATTCAGCACGTGGCGTACCGCTATGAAGAAAATTACCGCGCATGAACGAATTAAATAAAGATGACACATACAGCATGGTTTGAACTGGTTCATGTTTTATAGATGACGGACATAAATCTCCATTGCATTCGATTCAAATTTTTTTACAAGTTTATAAACTCTAGCACATATGCATATATACCTATAATGGTTTAATCATGTCTAGTCTGAAAAATAGTGCTACTGAAGTTATAGGTTTGGTCTTTTCTTCTATAAATGCTATAAATCTTCTCGCTAAAGAAGCTATTCAACTTCACGAGACTGCAGAAAATAGTTAAAAAAATTAGTCCATTGTGCAAAAACAAGAAAAATTGCGAAATCTGCTATAAAAATAATGCAGAAAGAAATTAAAGAGAAGAGTCTCTTAAAAAAAAAAAAAAAAAAACACAAAATTTACTATAAAGTTTAAAAAGAAGCAAGCTTTAGTAGATATTTATGCAACAGAAATTAAAAAAATTTTCAACAAATCAAATGAAGAATTAGAAATATTCAGAAATAGCATAAATGTTCTAAATTCATTACATTTGTCAAAGATTGGTTCTAAATTGCAATTAACGACTATAATTTGAAGGAAATATCTTATGATAATTTTGGAAAATTAACATATATTATTCATGGCGCATTTGGAAATGTTTATTCAGAATAAAAAGGTTGTCGCAAAAGAAATATACTACTTATTGCAAATTTTGATAATGAAAAGGAAATTAAAAGGTTTCTTAATGAGGTTTGTGTAATATGGTTTAGTGAATATATTATATTAGTATATCCATATAAGTGATAAAAATTTTCAAAACTATATATTGATATAATTTTCAAATTCTATCGAATTATCAAATTTTATGGAATAAATAATAGAAAAAGTGATATAGTGATTTTATTATTCTTTTTCGTGCAAATGTATACTTTTATTAATATTTAATCACAATAAAGATTATAATAGTGAAGCTTACCATCTTGTGATGAAATACGCAGAGAATGGATACTACAATATTTGAAAACCACTATACTTTCTTGGGAAAAAAGTTGAGTTAGCAGTACAATTAGTTGAAGGAATATTTTATTTAATCATGGATTGGTATACATTACAGTATTTAAAATAATTTATTTAAAGTTATTCTAATAATAAGTGGTATGTATTTTCTTAGCATTCGAAGAACGTCCTCATACATTATGAAAACTTAAAGAAACTTAAAAATTGCTGATTGGGTTTATCAAAAATCTCAATAGTACAGTATCAACTAGTAATATAATTCGTGGAGTGGTTCCTATGTTGTTGCCCCAAAAGTTTCTTGACGAAAGTTGCATTTTGGATGAAAAATCAGACATTTACAGTATTGGTGTACTTCTTTGGGAACTTTCAAGCTGCAGAATCCCTTTCAAAGGAATGGATCAAACTGTACTCACTTTCTTAAATTCTTTGGAATATGAACAAATGGTATGAAAAAATGTCATAATAAATTAAAATACATATTTTCTTTCTATTAACATTTAATATTCGTATGTAACGATAGAGCTAAACGATTTAGTTAACGTTCCACAAAAAATTGTTCATCCCGGTAATTTTAACCAATCAAAATTTTAAGGTCAGTTGCCAAAACAAACGTGTTTTGTTTTCTAGGTAAAAAAGTTACGTGTAAAATGAAACCCAAGAAAACCGTGTTATGGTTAGGGTTAAGGTTAGAACAATATAGCACTTATTAGTAAACATCATGAGGTACATTTTTAATTTGGCCGCAGAAGGGGTTTTCCTAATTAAAATTTAGAGTTATTATTGTTTTTTTTTTGTAAAAAAGTGGGTTCGTTCAATTTTTACGTTACACCTGATCCTGAAATTCGATTGGCCAAAATTGCAGGGGTGGGCAATTTTTTGTGGGAGAGTACACAAACAATTCCTTTTTGCGTTTGCGTAATGATTTTCTAGCTTATTGGAGTCTAATAATAGACAATCTACATAAAGGGTTATTCATCACTAATAAAGGCATACCTCTTGTTCTTGATCGCTGTCTAATAATAGATTTTGTTTTGTAAAGAACTTTATTTTTCTCTCTCTACCCTATGCTTGAATAATAATAAATAGCGCACATATAAAATCTATACTAATTGTTCTCAAAAATGGGGTCTAATATTTATGTTAGTGACCCTGCATTAAATCAGAAAATCTTTTCCAGGTCGCAACACCGGTTTATCTTGAATTTGATGAATGTTAAGTCAATCAACATACAGTAACTACTATACTTTTATTACTATAAGTTTGCAAAATGGTTTCCTTGTTTTCTAATTACAAATTTCTATCTTTTGTTTTAGTATTTTCCTGACGTCAAAAATACCGAATATTATTCCCTATATAGAATAGTTCAGAAAATTTAAAACCTTAATTCCCGAAACGCTTATTTGTGCAAGTAATACAAGCATAAAAAAGGATAGTATCTAAGGTTATATAACAAAACTTTAATTAAAGAAGGTTAAGGTTTAAAGTTAGGCCAAGAGCAGGTACTAGGTGTAAGTTGCTTATTTGTTTTAAATTTATAACAAAATGGTCTTTCTGAAAGAAAAAAGATTTATTAAACCCGGTAAAACTTATTATACTGGACTGTTAATAATTAAAAATTTTAAATCTTGATAAAGAGCTTATTCTACAGAGTCGATTATTATATACGAGTGACAAAAAGGAAAAGCCTGTAAATCATTTCACTCAATGAGTGAAATTATTTACGGGTTTTCCCTTTTCGTCACTCGTATATTAGCATAATGAATATACGTACGAACGTACGTACAGTACGTAGATATCTTATATGCACATCGCATATCATTCACTCTAGAGTGCACAAACTTTAGATCACGCTGATAATTATGCCGATCTTGGCTAGATTTGATGATCATTCTTAAATAAGTCAATTGTATACTCAAAGTTAACCGACTCAATGCGAGTTGTGTAATAATCTGTAATGGTTATTAAAGAAGAAATTTATTGGCATAATTAATTCTATGCCCTGCCCAAATTGGTAGAACATGACTCCAGTCTGACACACGCCATTTCGAATATGGGTCATTTGCTAGGACTTCACCGTTTAGCACTTGATTTCAAACGGCAATTTTCTTAGCAAATGATCCATACATCCAAATTCCCGCGCCCAAACTATAGATTAGTAAGATTAGTATGTAATTATTTTAATAATTTCTAATTTTTAAATTTTACTACTATTTGTTGTGGCTCCACTATATAAATACTAATAGATTTTTACCCCCTAAATACAATACCTCTTTAAGTGCAAGATTTTATATTGTCTGTACGAGTTGCACTTACGGAGATTAACTGTATACCCTAATCATACCTAAAAGTTTTACTAATAACGTTAATGTTCATTCATTAAGCAAAAATAATCAGGTAATAATGATGCTTTATTCTTAGTCAGTTAGTATTGCTCAATGCCCTTCTGTATCTATATTTGTTACTAAATCCCAAACTATTATAGTTGGGTATGTCCACGCCCAAATCCCAAACTCTGTAAAAACTAATATCTCAAAAACTTTATTAATAATCTTTATTTAAACAAATGATATATATATAGATGTGAGTGTCTGGTAGGGAATCCTTTATATCTAAAAATAGATTGTAATGAATTTCATAATGGTTTATTTTTAGATGTACAGGTTTTTCCTGTTCAACACTATACAACTATATATAATATATAATATACAGCTAAATATAAGATTAAAATATAATCAGAATAAAATATAAATATATATATAAACAAATACATATTACGACATACACATTTAGCAGGGTGGTATTTATTTTATATAAAAAACCCCAACCCTAAAATTTCAAATCCCATAATCCGCTTTCCACTAGTTTCACTAACCCCCTCCCACTTACAACTCCACTAATCCCTTCCCACTTAAACCTATTACTATCATTATTCACTGTGTTGTCACTGGCAACCCACTAAAAGACCTCTGAAAGTAAAATTAATACATCATATTTTATCTTATTCAATTTTTTTAGCACATATACGCATGTTCCTACAATTTTTTAATTATGTTCAGCCCATTAAATACAAGGACAAACGTAAGGAATGTGATGGCAAATGTCGATTCAAATAGTGCTGAGGCTTTTTTAAATACATTAGAAACTCTCGTTATAGAAGCTAATCAAATTTACGAGAGTGCGGAAAATAGTAAAAAAATTTGTTCAATTATGTTAGACCGAGTAAATATTGCGGCATCTGCTATAAGAGGAAAGTTAGAAAGAAATAAAAGCGAACAATATTATCAAAAACATCAAGAGTCTCTTAATAGATTGAAAACTAACTTAACAAGTCTTAAAAATTTTGCCCATGATGTGTCAAAAAAGCAATCAATAATGCAGTATATTAAAAAAGTTCTTAACGCAATCCAAATTAACAAAGCTTTCAATGAATTAATAAAAGAATACGACACATCGATGACTGATCTAGATTTATTATATTTATTGAAAAATTGGTTCCAAATTGCAATTGAGAACTATAATGTGAAGAGAATATCTTACGATGATTTTGGAAAATTAACATACGTAAGTGGTGGTGCATTTGGAAAAGTTTTTTGGGCTTCTTGCAAATCAATTCAAAATAGAAAGGTTGCCATAAAAGAATTATACATTGAAGATCATCATAATGAAAAAGTAATTAAAATGCTTCTTAACGAGGTTTGTGTAATGAAGATATTATATTAGCATATCCACATAAGTCATAAAAATTTTCCAAAGCTATACATTGACATAATTTTCAACATTCTATAATAATTTAGTTAAAGCTGCATAGTCAAGTTTCGCATCCACAAATTATCGAATTTTATGGAATAAGTAAAAGAAAAAGTAAAGGTTAGTGATTTTAATATATATTTTTTTACGCAAATGTATACTTTTATTAATATTTAACTTATAATAATAAGATCATAATAGTGAAGTTTGCTACCTTTTGATGGAATACGCTGAGAATGGAACTTTACAGCAATATTTGAAAACTTCTATACTTTCTTGGGAGAGAAAAGTTGAATTAGCAGTACAATTAGTTGAAGGAATGTCTTATTTGCACAGTATGAAGATCACTCATCGCGATTTGGCATGTATTGTTTTAAATTAATTTATTTAAGTTATTATAATCTAATAAGTGTTACAAATTTTTCACAGCATTCGAAAAACGTCCTTATTCATCATGGAAACATAAAAATTGCAGATTTTGGCTTATCAAAAAATCTCAATAGTACAATGTCAACCAGTAATATAATTCGTGGACTGGTTCCCTATATTGACCCCCAAAAGCTTCTCGACGAAAGTTACATTTTGGATGAAAAGTCGGACGTTTACAGTATTGGTGTTCTTCTTTGGGAACTTTCAAGCTGCAAAATCCCTTTTGAAGGAAAGAATGAAGCCGTACTTCTTTTTCACATTTCTGTAATGGGTTTTCGGGAAAAACCCATAAATAATACTCCTTTGCAATATTTTGAATTGTATTCCAAATGCTGGGATAAAGACCCTTTTCAACGACCGGTAATGATACAAATTCTTAATAGCTTGAATACTCTGAAATACGAACCAGTCTATCGAAACGAAAGCACGTGACCACGTGATCGTTGCACAAAACAGTGTTCCCGGCGATATATCGGATTTATCAGATTTTTCTCACTTATCCGGTTTATAAGAGAATTAGAGAAAGTAGATTTATTGGTTATACGGGGTAAATTAGAATAATCGGATGTATTATAGAAATGGGATAAATTATAGTTTTATTAGATAAATTCGATCATATGTACAGAACAATGTATAAGTTCGGCTTTTCACCCATAATAAAATTAAAATTTCGTGCTTTACAATCGAGCTATCCTAAAAGTAATGCATACGGTCCTGTGGCTGCTAGTATATTTTGGATTTTCTTCTTTGGCAACTGTATAAAGTGATTATAAAACTACCCTACAACTCTATAAGTAAACCTGTTTTTTAAACGTAGTGGAGGTAGATTGTCGTTCGTCCTTTTCTTGTGCACGTGAATTCGAAGTTGTCTTCCGAGTTAGACACAAAGTACAGTGGTAAAGCTGTGGTTATTGAATTAAGCAGTAGACTATCTCACAAAGAGTTCCATTCGACGTGCAGAATTAGTCGTAATTAAGGATAAAAGAATTGTTTAGTTAGGGATATTTTCAGAAAAAGGAAGGACAAAACAAACCCGAAGGAAACTTACCGGAAGAATCAACCTAATTCGCCAAATCTAACCCCTTTCATCTAAGCCTATCGTTGGTTTCACGAACGTATAGAATTCGAATTATCGTCCCAGCCGTTAGGACTACCTGTGTTACTACTATGCTTATTACCAAGTTTGCAAAATGGGTTCCTTTGTTTTCTTTCTATAAATAACAATGCTGGCTTATATTTCATTGAGCTTTCTTTATTATAAATTTCAGAATTCATTATAGACTTTCAGAACAAAAATATATAGAGAAAGTATAAAACAGATTTACCAGGAACGTAGTAATGAAATTACGGAGTGTATGGTTAACCGACAACTAGAATGGTTAGTGAACAAATTCTGGGTTATGATTGGATGGAAGTTAGACACGTGAAACTATTATAAAATTATAGAATTATAGAACGTATATAAAATATCTATGTATATAAATATATATGCATGAATGGGTGTGTTGTACTCATAGGGTGGGGTTCTTCTTATTGGCCTTTGAAGGTCGATTGCCCGGATAACTTGTTTATACGCCTTAAAGTACATTTGAACAATTCGAAGTTTTATTAATGAAAAATCGACACAGATATCGATAATGGTTTTAGAGAGGGAATGACGTCTACTACAGTATATGAGATTCCCGAATCGTTTACCACTATTCGAAATGCCTGTAACTATTGCTACACAACCAGAATTAGTTATGTGTAATACGGTGTAAAAATTACATCGTCGATAGTAATATGTAGTAATTAGTAAAGATGCAGGAAATATGCAATTAGCAAACAATCTGTAATGCAAAGGGAAGCGACAGTATAGTAATTAGTGCATGCGCATAAGGAATGTAGTCATTAAGTAATCATTGGTGTTAGTAATCATTGAACAATGGTCGAAAGGGGAATGGAATATAAAGAGGGAAAGGGTAATTAGTCGATTAGTGATTCTTAGTTCTTTTAGTTCAGTCTTTTAGTCGGTCAGTCTTTAGTTAGTTAATCAGTAGTTAGTTAGTTGGGTCTGTGGATAGTACTCTGGGAGTACCTCTTGGTCTTGGAAGAGAATAGGGAACGTTGGTCACTTGGTTGTAGTTCTCTCTTATTTTTCTTGCTATATACAAATATAATAAACACTTGGCTCCCTCTCTTTTATGCTTACAACCAAAGCTAAATTGGCTACGTGAATATAAAGTCTCTCCCAGGTTGTGACACTATCAAAAAAATTCTTATAAGTAATGCATAACTTATATATATATATACGTAGTAATATTAAAGTATAGTATATTAATAACCCAAATTTCGATTTGTAGTTTGGATAAACTCTAAAATCATGTTTTAGCTCAAATGTATATTGAAAATTTAAGTTAATTTAAAGATAAAAAGTACTTGAAATGAAATGTATAAGGCAATTATTCATGTTCTTATAATTATTGAAAAGTTCTTTACTAAACTCGAATTGCCGGTATATATCTCCTAATTATATTACGTTCCTGGTTTGAGCGCGACTACGTCGCGCAGCTACCCTAATTTTAATTATATTAATGTGATTATATGTATACAATATTGGGCAAAATTTGTCTAATTATTATGTCAAATAGAAACAATAGATCTACATTATATTATTATTAACTAGGTTTTCCTTTTCCAAAAAATCAAAAGATAGATACATTTATGTACAATACATCAAACTTTCTCTTTCTCAATAATTCTCACACAAGTACGTGAAAATATTCAAAATATTTCGTATTGCGTTCACATCTCGATTTCACAAAGTTAAACAGGCACCTTGACAAACTTTAGCACATTATGGTTTAGAGAACTAGCCACCACATTGGAATAAACTTATAAAATGCTGATGAATAAGAGAAGTTTAATTATAAATTCTTTAGAAATCAAAAGTTTGAACTTACTTGGAATGTTCTAAATTTAGAAGCATATTTGATCCATCTTTTTAGTTTCATAACCCAGTACAAGTTCATAATCTACGATGAAAACCATATGTACCCGAAGCATTAATTACTTAATCCAATTATTTCTCGGTATAAGTTTTTTTGTTTTTCTATATAATCGTTTTAAGTTTACTGTCAAAAATCAGTTTCGAAAATAAGCATGAAGCAAATTACAATCAGAAGTATATAATATAAAATGATGGATAAAGTTCTTCTTAGAATGTAAGAAAATTTTACTAAAATCTTTTCCAAAATGATACAAGCTACAAAAAAAATAATTAAGTTTATATACAATAAAAAAGTCAATAAATCTAATCTACGTATATGTTGTCTGTCGTCTATTGATTTCTGTCAATTCAGAATTAATATGTGTTATTTTAAATTAATAACTAGAACTTGTTCATACCATAGTTTTACCACTTGCATTATTAAAAAATATACTTGAGCTTAGGTTTAAGCTTATATAAATTACTAGCATATGGCATTTATTTACACATAGCTTCATATAACATTGTTTTATGTTAATGAATATCCCCTTTGCTCACTAGTAATTAATGTAAATATAAACAAGCTTGATAGAATAATGCAAGAATAGCTTATTTCAAGTAACTCATTTAATGAATCATTTTTTCATATATATAAACTAATGCAAACATTAGAGTAAAATTTGTGATAGTAAAGATTTACAATAGTGTTGGTCACTGAAACCTTTTTGGCCAAATCTGAAAGTTTCAGGTTTCAGATTATAGTTTCTGAAACCCTACCCAAAACTCAAAACCTTACCCAAAACCTGAAACCTTACCCGAAATCCCGAAACCTAAAATCTTGCCTGAAACATGAAATTTTACTAAAACTCAAAATATTTTCAAAACCTAAAACCTCACCTGAAACCTAAAATTTTATTTATAGCTATTTTTATTTGCTAAATAATTTTTTAGCTAATTTGATTAAGTTATTAATTTTGGTATAATATATTTAATATAAAATTTAAGATTAGGTGACTAATATAGAATTTTTATAAAATTTTTTTTTTTAAATTGTTTGAAATAGTTTTGATTTTTAAACAGAAGTTTATTCTTATACTATTTTTATTGCAGAATATTAAAATATTAAAAGTTTAATTAAATGTTTATCTTATAATATTAGTTAATTTAGAGAATTTTATTTAAATAAAATTTATTATATCTTTTTTATCAAATATTAATATAACTTTAAGTGGTAAAAAATATATATAACAATACTATTATATTTACAATTACTTGAAATTATACTTTTTTCAATTACTCTACATATAGCAAGTTGTGATAAAATTTGGTCTATTTGTAAATAAATAACAAAAAAAGAAAATAAATTTATTAGTTGAAATCTTAAATTATTAATTAAAAAATATTTTTTTTATTAGGGTTGTAACAAATATTACATAATATTTTTTTACTATACCCTACTTCTCTCACATAAGAAAAATTTGATTGGCTCTTATAAATTTAATATTTAATATAAGATTTCAACAACCTCTCCCCCCTAAAAATATTAATTTATATAAATATATTTTTATTAAATATTTTATAAAAATAAATTTAATTTATATATTGTAATTTTAAAATTTTAAATTATATTTTTGAAAGTTCAGATTATAGTTTCAAAATTTTGAATTATAGTTTTAGAGTTTTAGATTATAGTTTCAGGGTTTCGGATTTCGAGGTTTCAGTTTTTTTTTAAAAAAACTGAAACTAGTTTCAGATTAGTACCTTCCAAAACTAGTTTCAGGTAGATTTCGTTTTGAGTACTAACTTTAATTTACAAGCTTAGAAGGCTTACCTTAAATACTTGATTTATAAAAGACACTTTTGCTTTCTGTTAAATTGATCAAAATAATTTATAAATAGAAGAAATGTGTGATATATACATTTACAAACCTGAATATATTTGCAAACTGATATGTTCGTATATTAATGCTTGCATCAGATAATAATAATTTAAGTTATATTAAATAAAATGCTCAGCTAATAATGTTGCTATATATTTAGTCAAATAATTTTGCTTAATATCTACTTGGATATGACAAATTTTACTCATATAGTTGGCAATAACAAATTGTTAGCTCAAATTATAGCTTTAATAGTAAGAAATTTTCTATGTATTTCAAGATGCTGCAAAAAATTGGGGGTATATCTCTGAGCCAAATCAGAATCATTAAAGTTCGAAAAACACATTACAAATTATTGAGATCATAAAAATTCAATATTGCTGAATCTAAAAATGTAAATAACTTTATAGCATCTAAATGGTTTAAGTTTTGTAGAACCCTTGGATCTATTTGGAACATCAATCAGCTTGAAAGTCACAGTATCTCTAAATTTTTGTGCTATTACTATTACATACTGCATTTCTAGATTATAACTAGCTCTCAGATTCAGGTAATACCCCGGAATGCAATCTTAATTTTTTTAATCGTTAAGTTTATTTAAATATTAGCATTTTTAGTTTTTAACATCTAGATTTGGGCAAAGCAATGTGATCAGTCTTAATTTTTTTATAGTTTTTAGGTTTTTTAAATATTAGTTTTTTAGCTTTTAGACCCAGGCGATGCCCGGTGGTGAGTTCTCAATTTTTTAGGTTTTGAGTTCATTTCACATTTTGTTTTGTTAGTAAGTAGTTGTAAAATTTTTTTTTTAGTTTCTAGCAATTAGGCTAAAGTGATATTTAGAGTCTTAGTCTTAATTTTTTTATAGTTTTTTATATATTATTTTTTAAGTTTTCTACTCTCAGACTGGCAATGCCTCGGTGCATAGTCTCAATTTTTAAAGTTTTTTAAATATTAGCATTTTTCTTTTGTAGCTCTTAGATTTGAGCAAAGCTATTAGATGCAGTTATAATTTTTTATAGTTTTTAAGTTTTTAAATATTAGTTTTTTAGCTCTCAGCCATAGGTGATACTCTGAGAGCATGGTCTCAATTTTTTTATTAATTGGGTTTAAAAATTTATTGTATATACATCCCTTCATTTATATAGAAATTTTTACTATAAAACTATTTTTGAGACTCTAATAAAAAAATTCACTGTAAAATTTTGATATAACCTATACTTTTGCCTTAACACAGTTTTTAACTCTAATTTTAATATTAATCAAAATTTATTTTTTTTGATAAAAATTTTTTATTGTACAAAATTGATGATTTTTATATAGTTATAATAGGGTACAATATATATTGCACCATGCAATAAATTGAAATTTCTTATTAATTTTGATTATTTAATTTATTAATATTTAAATCTTGTGAATTTCTAGAAGTACAATTTAATCCTTAAGTTTTTTAAATTTTAGTTTTTGGTTTTTTAGTTCTTAAACTTAGGCAATGCCTCAAGAGCATGGTCTCAATTTTATCTAGTTAAGTGTTTTTAAATTTAAGTTTTAAGTAATAAATATTAGCTTAAATATATAATTTTAAATTTTTTATTTTTTAATTTGTAGTTTTTAACTTAATATCTATATTATAATTTGCAATAGTATTACACAAAATGACAAACACTATGAGACAAAAATATGATTTAATTGGCTGTTAACTTTCAAATTGTATCACATGATCGATGGCAATGAGCCTGTATAACTGTCATTGTGCAAAATTAGTAGTTAATTTGAAGCAACATGACAGGTCATCTGCTAGTATATTAATAAAAGTAGTCTGTTTGTTTGTATTACAAAGAGTTTAAATAGGCAATATCTGTAGTTTTGGTTGCAAGTATAATATCTAGTATAAAACCTATATTGGTAGACTACTTAAAATAAATATTAGAAGTGTACTTGTTGCTAGTATGTACTTTTTAATATAAAGAAGTTCTTTGTGAACTTTTCTACTTAACAATACTTGAATAAAACTTTAGCAACAAAGAGGCTAGTTTAATAAAAAATAATAATTTGTTTTTTTTATTTATAACAAGTATTTAATAAAGCATTTATTAATATAAAAATTATTATAAATACTTAAAATATATACTATAAGCTTATCTATATAATAAATAATTTATTTTTAAATTACAATAAATATATAATATTAAATCTTAAATTTAAATCCAAATCTAACTCTAAACTTACTTTAAGCCTATTCTAAATTTATTTTAAAGTTGCTATAAATTTAATGCTAATTTTAACTTTAACATTAGATTCTAATTTTAATTCTAATTCTAATTTTAATTGTATAAAAATAATTTTAAATTTTTTAATCAAAAATTTAAATTAATCAAATTGTATATCTTTTTTAAAATCTAATAAATATAAAATAAATTATATTTATAATATAATTTTGTAGATAGAAGCAAATTATATAAAGTATAATAATAGATTTTATTAGTATCATTTTGAAGATTATAAGTTTTTATAATTTTATTAATAAAAATATAAAAAATATAATTTTTAACTTTTAATAATGATATTTATTTATTGCTGATCATCAAAACACAAATTTTCTAAAATACAAAATTAATAAAAACTACAAAAGACACAAAAAGCTACTAAGAAATGAATCTTAGAGCTCTAAGAAAAGAAGAAGAGGACTACAAGAAACATTCAGTCTCTTAAGAGACTTGAGTAAAAGGAACAGAAGTAGCAAAGAAATAAAAGAAGTTGTGAAAAATCGTCGATATTTTTTGCACTTTGCGAATTTTTGGGGAATCGGTCTTGAATCTGAATTGCAGATCTGTTTTGGTAGTACAAGAATCACAACGCGTAATAAAAAATAAACAAGAGAAACACACCAAAAACCACGTGATAAAAATAAGCAATGGAGGTAAACAATCGCAACAAGTAGCAACAACAAACAATAATAATCAAAAAACAACAAGTCACGTGAAGCAAAAGTTGTTCATGTTGCTGAAAA